GCAATGCCCGTTGCTGACCTCTTTCGGACGCCCGATCAGTTCACGCTTAGCACGCAGAGATGCCATGGAGCGGTGCTCGACGCGGCCGCGATCCTGAGAGTGAAGAACTTGATCATTGCATCCAGGCGGGTAGCGACCTCGGCATCACAGTCGACGGCCAAGGGGGCGCTCGAGCTTGTCGCCAGCAGGAACCGGGGCGCGCGGCACATGGCCGCAGATGCCGAGTCGCGGAGCACCGACAAGGCGAGGGAGATTCGCAACATGATGCGGCATGTCAGCCAAGCCCTGGCGAGGCAAGGCAGGCGGCTTCACTAGCGAACAAGGCCGATTCGAACCCGAGTCGGCAGAGGTGGCGTCGATCAGCCTTTTGAACGTTGCGATTCGAGCGCGATCGATTTCAGCGCGCCGATCTCGACGAATCAACCCACTGCCCCTCTCCAGGGAGAGCGCGTGGGCACAGCGTGTCCTGGAGGGGGGCTACGAGGATTGCTGTTTCCAGAATCGCCAGCACCCCCCCCCCCAATATGTAGCCCACACTTGGAAGGGCCCTTGCGGGGCCTGCGTTTCGAGCGGCGCAGCACGTGTCATCGCAAATGTCACTGCGGCGGCATTCGCGATGACATTTGTTGGGTCAGTGCCCCCACGGGGGGCCAGCGAGGGCAACGGCTGCCCGAAGTCTGGCAAAAGAAGAAGGCACAGAAGAAGAGTCCGGATCTCGTTGGCTTGGCTGTAGAGAGGGGCTGGCAGCTAGGTTTTGCACCGGCAATGCAAGCAGCAGGGCCAATAGGGAACAGCTGGCGCAGGGGGGAGGGCGCAGGCAGGAGAGATGGGGGAGCGAAGTCAGTGAGGAGTCGAGAGGCGGGCGACGGCGGAGACGGTAGGGGGCGACAGAAATGTCGCAGGTTGTCCGAGGGGAGGACGTGGACCGGAAGGGATGGGGGGCGCAGCTGATGCCGCGAGACGTGCGCGAACGGTGCCGGCGGAGGCTGCTGATAGAGACTTTCGAGAAGCGTGCGTTCCAGACGATATGCAGGCCAACGTCATGTAAATCATACACGGAGGATGCGACAAGCATAGGTGAGAAATTGTACAACACGGGGACGTAAAAGGACAAACAAAGCAGATGGCGACGGACCGACGAGGCGAGGTGGCAATCGGGTGGGCGACGGAGCAGGCGACGAGGAGGAACCGAATGGGATTCGGACCCTGTGTTGGGCGAAATGCGGCCATGTCAAAGGGAAGCGGACTTCGCGCAGTAGCAAAGCGATGTGGGGAAACAAAAAGCGTAGGCGCAGTACTGTGTTCGAAGGACACGTGCATGGCGCTTTTCGAAGACATGGTGGACATGTCAGAGGCGCAGAGGAAGCATCGCGAGGCCGGGGAGAAATGCGCAGTGGAGCGGGGGAAAGCGGCAATGCGAGCAACTTGCGAACAATGCAACCGCAAGAGGAACACTGAAGCGGTAAAGATTCCCGCCAGGTGGCGGGAACGCTTTCTGGGGCACGAAGCATTCGCAGCCCGAGCAAGTGGCGGGGCATCGGAGCAATAGAAGCACCGAAGTGATGTGTGGTGAGTGTGACACGCGAGGCGTAAAGGCCAAGGGAATAGCCGATGCGGCAATGCGGCCGGAGAGCGAGCTAATGCGCACGGCGTGCGGGGAGACGTTTTCGGAAACGAGTCATTTGAAGAACTGTCAAGTGGCACATTACCGGAAAATGCACAAGGCGCGCGTGGTGTGCGGAGGCTGCAAGGATCTCGGGCTCACTGCGCGCAGTTGGCAGCTGTGCCAATTCATTGGCACGCACAGAAAACCCGCTGAAATGTTTTGTTCGTGGGGGGGGAGCGCCGTACGCACCGAGAAACACGGAACCCTGAATTGCAAGCCTTGTGACATACATTTGCGTGGGTGACCATGTGCGATATCGTTTCGACAGTAACGGTGGAATCACCAAGTTTTAGGGACCAGGGCGGGAGCAAGAAAAACAGGACGATGATTGGGAGGATGAGTGGACGAGGGCGACGAGTCCGAGACTGCTGAGACGGAGGGGGACGTGGAGGAAGTGGAGGAGGAGGTGGTGGAGGAGGAAGAGGATGAGGGGGAGGAGGAGGAAGAGATCAAGGGGAGGAGGAGGAGAAGGAGGAGGAGGAGGAAGGAAGAATAGTAAGAGAAGGGGGAGGAGGAGTTGGAAGAGGAGGAGGAGGAGGAGGAGAAGGAGGAGGAGGAGTAACAGGAGGAGGAGGAGGAGGAGGAGGAGGAGGAGGAGGAGGGCAACGAGGAGGAGTAACAAGAGGAACACGAGGAGGAGGAGGAGGACGAGGAAGAGCAGGAGAAGGAGGAGGAGGAGGGGGAGGAGGAGGAAGAGGAGGAGGAGGAAGAGGAGGAGGAGAAGGAGGGGGAAGGGGAGAAAGATGAGGGGGAAACCTCGGTCGGGTTCGCAAATCGCCCAATCTCGAATAGCCTTCGGCCCATCCGCCACCATGTCTGGGTCGTGGGTGGGAGGCCACTCGGATGGGTGATGGGGTCTCGTGGGAGGCTTCTCGGGGGCATTTCGGAAACAGTGTTTGAGACCTGTTAGGGATCTCCCCAGTGCCTCCTTGGGGCTTCTTGGAGGTTTCGTAGGAGATTGTCGGAACCTGAAGGCGTCTTGGGGCCGAGTGCTGGAAATGTCCGTTCGGGTTCGCTCTCTGGGCCTCTCCCGGGGCCGTTCTGAGGCAGTGGTTACTCTTGGTGGTCTCATGGGCCTCCTTGGTGCTGTTGGCGGCCGTCTTGGAACCCTTTCTGGGGCCTGTCGGGCCGTCTTAGGGCAGTATTGGGCGCCGCTTGTGCCGTCTTGGACGCTGCCGAAGTCCAAGAGGCGAATCTTTGGCCACCTTTGGGTCGTCTTGGGTCGTCTTGGCCCGTTCGGAAGCAATCTTACGCGTCTTCGAGAAATCCCGGGACCACTGGAGGAGGGGTTTAATTTCCAGTTTAGGGGGCCCCGGGGGGGTCTCACACGCCTAGAGACCCCAAGGGGTCGGCGGATAGCAGCACAAGTGACAGCAGCAGCTCAACGTTGCCGTCGGCGAGCTTGACCAGCACCACGACAGAGAGCAGCATGACTGGCACTAGCAGCAGAACGACAGGTGGCAGCAGTTCTACGGTGACGTCAGCGAGTGGCATCAGCGCTACGACAGAGAGCAGCACAAGTGAAAGCAGCAGCTTTACGTTGACGTCCGCGAGCGGAACCAGCACCACGACAGAAAGCAGAAGCTCTACGTTGACGTCTGCGAGCTTGACCAGCACCACGGTCGAGAGCAGCATGACTGGCACCAGCAGCAGCACGACAGGTAATAGCAGTTCTACGTTGACGTCTGCGGGTGGCACCAGCGTTACGACAGAGAGCGGACAAAGTGAAAGCAGCAGCTCTACGGTGACGTCAGCGAGCGGGACCAGCACCACGACAGAGAGCAGCAGGACAGGTATCAGCAGCAGCAGCACGACAGATAGCAGCAGCTTTACGTTGACGTCTGCGAGCGGTACCAGCCTTACGAGAAAGAGCAGCTCAAGTGAAAGCAGCAGCTCTACGTTGCCGTCGGCGAGCTTGACCAGCACGACGACAATGAGCAGCATGACTGACACCAGCAGCAGCACGACAGGTAGAAGCAGCTCTACGTTGACATCAACGAGTGGTACCAGCACCACAACAGAGAGCCGCACAAGTGAACGCAGCAGCTCCACGGTGACGTCAGCGAGCTTGACCAGCACCACGACAGAGAGCAGCACGTCAGACAGCAGTAGCTCTACGTTGACGTCCGCGAGCGGAACCAGCACCAGCACAGAGAGCAGCATGATTGGCACCAGCAGCAGAACGACAGGTAGCAGCCGTTCTGCGTTGACCTCAGCGAGTGGTACTGGTACCTCGACGGAGAGCAGCACAAGTGAAAGCAGCAGCTCTACGGTGACGTCCACGATCGGAACCAGCACCACGATAGAGAGCAGCATGACTGACACCAGCAGCAGCACGACAGGTAGCAGCAGCTTGACGTTGATGTCTGCGAGCGGTACCAGCGTTTCGGTAGAGAGCAGCATCATTGGAAGCAGCAGCTCTACGGTGACGTCAGCGAGAGGGACCAGCACCACGACACCGAGCAGCATGATTGGCAGCAGGAGCTCTACGTTCTCGTCAGCGAGCGGGACCAGCACCACGACAGAGAGCAGCATGACAGGTACCAGCGCGACAGATAACAGCAGCTTTACGTTGACGTCTGCGGGTGGCACCAGCGTTTCGACAGAGAGCAGGCAGAGTGAAAGCAGCCGCTCTACGTTGTCGTCAGCGAGCGGGACCAGCACCACGACAGAGAGCAGCATGATTGGCACCACCAGAAGCACGACGGGTGGCAGCGGCTCTACGTTGGCGTCTGCGAGCGGGACCAGCACCACGACAGAGAGCAGCATACGTGAAAGTATCAGCTCTGCGTTGGTGTCAGCGAGCTCGACGAGCACCACAACAGAGAGCACCATGACTGGCACCAGCAGCAGGTCTATTGTGACGTCTGCGAGTGGCACCAGCGTTACGACAGAGAGCAGCTCGAGTAAAAGCAGCAGCACTACTGTGATGTCAGCGAGCAGGACCAGACCCACTACAGAGAGCAGCATGGCTGGTACCAGCAGCTCTACGGTGACGTCAGCGAGCGGGACCAGCACCACGACAGAGAGCAGCATGATTGGCACCAGCAGCACCACGACAGGTAGCAGCTCTACGGTGACGTCAGCGAGTGGTACCAGCGTTACGACAGAGAGCAGCACAATTGAAAGCAGCAGCTCTACGGTGACGTCCGCGAGCGGAACCAGCACTAGCACAGAGAGCAGCATGATTGGCACCAGCAGCAGCAGCTCGACGGATAGCAGCCGCTCTGCGTTGACCTCTGCGAGTGGTATTAGCACCGCGACAGAGAGCAGCACAGGTGACAGCAGCAGCTCAACGTTGCCGTCGGCGAGCTTGACCATCACCACGACAGAGAGCAGCATGATTGGCACCAGCAGCACCACGACAGGTAGTAGCAGCTCTACGGTGACGTCTGCGGGTGGCACCAGCGTTACGACAGAGAGCAGACAGAGTGAAAGCAGCAGCTCTACGGTGACGTCAGCGAGTGGTATCAGCTTTACGACAGAGAGTAGCTCGAGTAAAAGCAGAAGCTCAATGTTGACGTCAGCGAGTTCGACCAGCACCACGACAGAAAGCAGAAGCTCAACGTCGCCGTCAGCGAGCTTGACCAGCACCACGGTCAAGAGCAGCATGATTGACACCAGCAGCAGCAGAACGACAGGTAGTAGCAGCTCTACGGTGACGTCTGCGGGTGGCACCAGCGTTACGACAGAGAGCAGACAAAGTGAAAGCAGCAGCTCTACGTTGACGTCAGCGAGCGGGACCAGCACCACGACAGAGAGCAGCATGACCGGTGCCAGCAGCTCTACGTTAACGTCCGCGAGCGCGACTAGCACGACAGTGAGCAGCATGACAGGTACCAGCAGCAGCACGACAGATAGCAGCAGCTTTGAGTTGACGTCTGCGAGCGGTACTAGCCTTACGACAAAGAGCAGCTCAAGTGAAGGCAGCAGCTCTACGTTGCCGTCGGCGAGCTTGACCACCAGCACAACCACAATGAGCAGCATGACTTTCACCAGCAGCAGCACGACAGGTAGACACAGTTCTACGTTGACGTCAACGAGTGGTACCAGCGTTACGACAGACAGCCGCACAAGTGAACGCAGCGGCTCCACGGTGACGTCAGCGAGCTTGACCAGCACCACGACAGAGAGCAGCACGTCAGATAGCACTAGCTCTACGTTGACGTCCGCGAGAGGAACGAGCACAAGCACAGAGAGCAGCATGACTGGCACCAGCAGCAGAACGACAGGTAGCAGCCGCTCTGCGTTGACCTCAGCGAGTGGTACTGGTACCTCGACAGAGATCAGCACAAGTGAAAGCAGCAGCTCTACGGTGACGTCCGCGAGCGGAACCAGCACCACGCTAGACACCAGCAGCAGCACGACAGGTAGCAGCAGCTTGACGTTGATGTCTACGAGCGGTACCAGCGTTTCGGCAGAGAGCATCATCAGTGGAAGCAGCATCTCTACGGCGACGTCAGCGAGAGGGACCAGCACCACGACACCAAGCATAATGGCTGGCAGCAGGAGCTCTACATTATCGTCAGCGAGCGGGACCAGCACCACGATAGAGAGCAGCATGACAGGTACCAGCACGACAGGTAGCAGCAGCTTGACGTTGACGTCTGCGGGTGGTACCAGCGTTACGACAGAGGGCAGCATACGCGAAAGCAGAAGCTCGACGTTGTCGTCAGCGAGCGGGACCAGCACCACGACAGAGAGCAGCATGACTGGCACCACCAGCAGCACGATGGGTAGCAGCGGCTTTACGTTGGCGTCTGCGAGCGGGACCAGCACCACGACAGAGAGCAGCATACGTGAAAGTATCAGCTCTGCGTTGGTGTCAGCGAGCTCGACGAGCACCACAACAGAGAGCACCATGACTGGCACCAGCAACAGGTCTAAGGTGACGTCTGCGAGTGGCACCAGCGTTACGACAGAGAGCAGCTCGAGTAAAAGCAGCAGCACTACTGTGATGTCAGCGAGCAGGACCAGACCCACGACAGAGAGCAGCATGACTGGTACCAGCAGCTCTACGGTGACGCCGGCGAGCGGGACCAGCACCACGACAGAGAGCAGCATGATTGGCACCAGCAGCACCACAACAAGAAGCAGCAGCTCTACGTTGACGTCTGCCAGTGGTACCAGCGTTACGACAGAGAGCAGAACAAGCGAAAGCAGCAGCTCTACGGTCACGTCAGCGAGCGGGACCAGCACGACGACACAGAGTAGCATGAACGGCACCAGCAGCAGCACAGCAGATAGCAGCAGCTCTGCGTTGACGTCTGCCAGTGGTACCAGCGTTGCGACAGAGAGCAGAACAAGTGAAAGCAGCAGCTCTACGGTGACGTCAGCGAGCGGGACAAGCTCCACGACAGAGAGCAGCATGATTGGCACCAGCAGCAGCACAGCAGATAGCAGAAGCTCTACGTTGACGTCCGTGAGTGGGACCAAAGCCACGACAGAGAGCAGCACAAATGCAAGCAGCAGCTCTACGTTGACTTCATCGAGCAAGACCAGCACCACGACTGAGGGCAGCAGGACTGGCACCAGTAGCACTACGACAGAGAGCACCAGCTCTCGGTGGACGTCCGTGAGTTGGACCAGCAGCCGAAAGAAGAGCAGCGCAACTGAAAGCAGCAGTTTGACTTCGACGTCCGCGAGTGGGACCAGCACCACGTCAGAGAGCAGCTCGACCAGCTCCAGTAGCAGCACGAAGGCGAGCAGCAGCTCAACGTTGACCTCCGTCAGTGGAACCGGCGTTGCCTTGGATAGCAGCACAAGTAAAATCAGCAGCTATACGTTGACGTCCGGGCGCGGGACCAGCACCACGACAGAGAGCAGCACGACAGGTACAAGCAGCAGCACGAAGGATAGCAGCAGTTCTACGTCGACGTCCGCGAGTGGGACCAGCACCACTACACACAGCAGCGCAATTGAAAGCAGCAGTTCTGCGTTGACGTCCTCGAGAAGATCAAGCACAACAACTCAGTGCATCTCGACTGGCTCCAGTAGCAGCACGACAGAACCCAGCAGATCTACTTCGACGTCTGCGATGTGGACCACCACGACGGAAAGAAGCAGCTCCATGTGGATCTCCTCGAGTGGAACCAGCAGCTTGTCAACCAGCAGCGCGACAGAGAGCAGCACAACAAGCGTCAGTATGATCACGACGGGGACTAGGACCAGCAGCTCAACGGAGAGTAGCACGGACAGTATCAGCACAGCAGATACCACAAGCAACACATTGGAGCGCAACATCTCTACAGGGACATCCCTGGTTTGGACCAGCAGCACGGACAGTACCAGTAGCAGCACATTGGGGAGCAGTAGCTCTGCGCTGACCTCTCCGAGCGGGAGCGGCAGCACGACCGAGAGCAACAGCTCCACCTGGATCTCCATCAGCGAGACAATCAGTCCGTCGGAAAGCAGCACGACGGGTACCTCCACGACAGAGGCCATTGGTAGAACGACAGGGAGCATCACGATAGGTTCCAGCACGATTGCAACCGCTTCCTCGGGCACTGCCATCTCCAGAACAGGGTCGGCTTTCACGGTCAGCAGCACCACTCTCAGCAGTATAACGATCATCTCGGATCTTGCTACAACGCGAGCTTCGACGGCCACTGCCACTGCGATCACTGCGACCTCCACGACCGCAGCTACATCAACAGCGTAGACGCCCTTGGTAGCATGATCGGAAGATCTGGCTCCGATGGCCGTGCCTTGTTTCGATCGAGCCTGCGTGTGACTATCGCCGATCGGGCGTGTGACCTCGGCGATCCAAGCAAGGGCAGCCTGAAACAGATCGCATCCGTATGTCCGGCCTGTCGAGCGATAATGGTTAGTCTATCAATGTTGCCAATGTCCAGTTGCCCCAGGTTCTCAAAGAGAAACAGATACCGCTACACTTGTCTCGTTGCCACCGTTGGATCCGCCTCGAAATCTTTGTCAGAACGCACCCCTGAGAGGTCTGGGGAGCAGCGGTATTGATATGTTTTGTTGTTGTTCCAGATTCTGCAGCAAACCAGTGGCGGTGGTCACTCGGGGCTATTCCAGGCTTGTGGCGGCCAGCCAAGATTCTCTGCAGGTAGTTGCAGAACGGCCGGTCAGGCCTGGTCCATGATAGTTTGGGCAAGCGAGATCCTGGGCTCATTGAGGCAACCGGCCATACTGGTCTAACCTGCCAGTCAAGGCCAGTCGGGGCTAGAAGCGACCAACATACTCCACGGCAGGATACTGAAGAGGCAGTCGGCCATTCGGGGCTGGTCGGGGCTTTGGACGGCCGGTGTAGTCGGCTGCAAGTTCTAGACGCCTCGCGTAACCCCCCCCGCCCATCCGGAGTCCATGCCACGACGAGTTGCCCTGATCAGGGAGGTGGCGGAGAATGCAGTGAAATGAAGATTGAGGTAATGCGAAGACGTCGTACCCCAGAAGGGGGAGGATGGAGGAGGAGGGAGAAGGAGGATAAGAGGAGAAGGGAGGAGGGAGGAGAGAAGGATGGAGGAGGGAGGGAGGGAGACTCTTAGGGTTCCCCCCCAAGGAGACCACAATGTGGCCAAAGCCTCAATAACATTCGTGATTTGGGCCTTCTCGTCAAGGCCTTTTGGAGCGTTTTGGGGGCCTCTGGGGGGCCTCTTGGGGGTCTCTTGGGAGCCTCCTGGGGGTATCTTGGGGCCTCTTGGGGACCAATTGGGGCTTCCTGGGCACCTTGGGGCCTTCTTGGGGAACCCTTGGGAGCCTCGGGGGCCATCTTGGAGGAGATCGATTAAAGGAGGGGTCGGAGTACATTCGGGTCCCCCCCTGGAGGCCTAAATGTGGCCAACGCTCAAGTCAAATCAATGAGTTTGTCATTCTCGCCGAGGTCTTTTGGAGCGTATTGGGTTCTTCTTGGGGGCCTCTTGGGGCATATTGGGGATCTTTTGGTAGCCTGTTGGGGGCGTCTCGGGGGCCTCTTGGGGGCCTCTTGGAGCCTCCTGGGCACCTCTGGGGCACTCTTGGGGCACCCGTACTACATGAAGGGCCCCCCACCCAGGTGGCCAACATGTTGCCACAACCTTTTGGCTTCTTCGCCGAGGCCATCTTGGACACTCTGACACCTTGCGACCCCCCTCCAGGTCCAGGGGGAGGGACTAGGGGGAGTGACAAACCCCTCCCCGAAGGGGAAGAAAGGGGGCCCGCTAATCCATTCACGCCCGAAACGGCTGGGCGGATTCGGGCAAGCGGCTGTTCGGGGCCAGTCAGAGTTACTGGGGGGCACGTGATGGAGCTCTTTTTGGACCCTCTGAGGGCCGTCAGTTGAGTCTCTCATAGTCTGTCAGTTTCCTCTGGTTCCAGCTGAAGTCACCCGTGCTGTTCACCAGACCAGGAGCCGGCGTTGCGGGTTCATGTGTCACGCACTATGCCTGTTATTGGTCATGTTTTTTTTGTTGGGGAAAGCGCATCGTAGGCCCGCAGAGAGGACTTTTTTTCGAATCGGGTCACGCATTCCGCTTGCCCGCCTGGAAGAACACATCAACCTACTGTCGGCCCGGATTGGTAGGTCGTCCCTGCCAAACCAAGGGTACTCTTGTGTCCTGTGTGTTCGCGACACATGCCTCCTACATTCCTGTGGCAACGTGGCCCTCGGAAGGGACTTGTGTCCTCTCGCGTGTCCTGTCCGATGAAGTCCGGCTGTAAAGTTTCTTTTTACCTGTGGATTGAGTTTCCTCTTCCCTGCAACTTGGAGTACGCTGATCGTGTGCTCGATGCCCAGCATCCGCCTTGTCGGGTCGAGGTGCGCAGCCTGGCCTCCAGCCGTTGCGACGCCTGCGCGGAAGCTCGGAGGGCACTCGCACGTTCGGATACCCGCTGGATCTTGAACGGATCACCATCCACATGATCCGTTCGATTCGAAGGGCAGGAGCGGCGTCTAGGATTATGATGTTCCAACCTACTTTAGCCTTGATCATCAGAAAGGATTTCGAACACCAGGAAACAGTACCGACTCTCGAGGGTTTTCGCGTGTCGGGCCCTGGGAGACACTCGTCCGATACTGTTTCGACACTCTTTTGACACTTTTCCAGGTGCTCGAAATTATTTCCGGGATGTGGTCCTTAAGTACGATGGGTGCAACATAAGTCTAGGATGTGGGTGTGAGGGCGGACGAGGGCACTCGTAGAAGTCTCGCCTCTCATGCCGGAGTGACTGAGCCGCCCGCGTTCGCACCAGCCCGTTCATGTCGGACACTATTCGGCCAGGGGTGGGAGCGGAGGCCTGGCTGGGGTACGCGAGGGGGCCCCAGTGCCCCGCTGGAGCCCTTCAGTGGGGCCCCCTCTGGAAGGGCCGGTGGACCCCCGCCGACGGTTGGCCGCGTCTGCGCAAAGCAGCCGCGGCCCTTCCCATTTGGAAGGCGCAGCGGCGGCTTTTCCAAGCGGGAAGAGCCGGAGGGCCTCCCCGACCGCGCCTGCACAACGTTGCGTCGGCCTGGAGCTTGGCCCTTCAACCCGTCGGAGTGGGTGAATATCGCAGCGCACTGTATCTTGTGCTCGTTCATAACACAACGTTGTCGAGTCAGAACTCCCGCAGCAATCGGCACGTGCCTTGGCTGCGTGGGGAGCTCTTAAAACACACTGCTAATTGGAGCAAGTGTGTTCATCAATCGTACACCTCTGTGTCTACAGCGGGGTCCTGCTTCGATTGGGACCTCTAGCCCTCAGTGTAACCGCTCCCTCTCATCTGCGTCTCTGCGGCCACTACATGCGAAATTCTGTGAGGAGGGCCATAGGACCTTCACCCACCAGTGTCTGGGGTTACCCTTGGTTGCGCGAAGTTGTCGGTCGTTTGTGAAGCAAGGGCGTAGCCGAGGTCGGCGTTGACAAGTACGACGTTGACAAGCACTACCACAGCGCTCTTTGTGGTCACCGGGTCCCTCGAGTTCAACTGCGCAGGGACGCAAGAAAGCATCGAGAGCCTCCTCATTTCTTACTTATCATCCATCGCGACTGCTGGCGCACTACCGACGGTTTCCTCGGACGGGTAAGCATTGAGGTGGGGAAGGGATCGTTGGGTGGTTTGTGGGCTCAGCGATTTGATCCCATGGTAAGTACAAATAATTGCCGCAGGGCAGGTCTCTGCGATGAGTGCCAGTGTCGCAGTTTGGTTCGCAGGCTGTCTGTTGCAGTACCGTTCTTTCAATGCGGCATATCTCGCAGCTCTCGTTCGCTTTCTCGGCCGCCTCCCGTGGCATCCCGCGGTCTCAAAGCAGGGGTGGCATTTTCCGAGCATGTTCAGTGGGTGGAGGGCAACGGGTGAACTCTGAAATGCCGCTTCGATGGATTTTCGATGATTAAGCCTGAAAAGGTGATTCGTAAGACAGATTAATTTTCGAGGTGCAAAAGCCCATATGGATTTCACCCTGAGCCCTCCACCCGAAGAAAATGTTCACATTTTCCCAGACGCGCAGAAATGTGCCCCGACCCGACAGACGTGAAAATCCCCGATCATGAATAATTCCTGCCCTTCTCTCGGGATCTCTGCTCTTCTCTCCTATTGAGGGTGTACTCGTTCAGCTGGAAACGCCCCCGAAATGTAGTCCACCTCTCACTCTCTCTTTGCATGTCAGAGTGAGGGGTCGAGTCGAGTGGTCTGATTATGTTTTCGGTTCGTGATTGAAGTGGGAATGCGCGGTGAAGAGCGTCGCCGTTCGTGTGCATATTTCTTGTAATGTTCTTCCTTTCCCACCCCGGGGACCCACACCTCCCATCTGTTTGCTGGTGGTTGAGTTTGAAGGGTCGGCAATCTAAAGAAGAGTGGCCACCCGAGTGGTTTCGTGTTGTCCTCCTCGTCCTCTTCCTGATCGCTGTCGTTTTCCCCCACATCCTACATGGGGTCCTTGTTTTTGTTTCTGGACACCCAGCGAAGGATCAAGAACACCCCCACGTCGTCAGCATGATTATCATCATCAGCAGCATCAGCATCGCAGTCATCATCATCGTCATTAGCATTAGCATCAGCATCAACATCACCAGCATCATCATCATCATCCTCATCATCATCATCATCATCATCATCACCATCATCATATTTGTAATCATCATCCACATCATCACCATCATCATCATCGTCATCGTCATCGTCGTCATTAGGTCATCGTCATCAGCAGCAGTGCAGTCAGCATCAGTATCTTCTTCAGCATCATCATCATCAGCATCGTAAGCATCATCGACATCGACATTGACGTCATCCTCATCATCATAATGGGTACGACCATCATTATCATCGTCATCATCATCGTCATCACCGTGACCATCATCGATCCAGCATCATAATCACACCATGTGCTCACACTCATCATCAACATCACGCTATCACTGTCATCAACATTAGCATCATCACACACACGCGCACTGGTGCACTTACGCACTCCCCCGTCTTCCCTCACCTTTTTCATGCTTCTCTCTTCTCTCTGTATTAGCGTTTTCATCACCACGGGTTCTTCCCTGTGGGTTCCACAGCTCATTTTACCAATCCGATCGGGTCATCTGGTCCAAGCGGGGGCTTCGCCAGGTGAGTGAACGGTGAAGAAGTCTCGAGCGGGAGCCCCCTCCTTATGTGGTTCGCACTTCATGTTACTAATCCGAGCGGGTCATCGGCAACCTCTGCCAGGCATTGCACTAGAGCGCCCCAAGGGGGCACATCGCGAGGGCTTCTCACGCGGGGGCCTCGTCTGTGAGTGAAACTCGAGGAAGTCTGAAGCGGGTGGGCCCTCGCCCTATGGGGCCCACACTTCATGTTACTAATCCGAGTGGGTCATCGGCAAGCTCTACCAGACATGGCATTTGATCATTCAAAGGGGGCAAATCGTGAGTATTGTATGTCTCAAGCGGGGGCCTCGTCTGTGAGTGGACAGCGAGGAAGCCCCAAGCGGAAGCCCCCTGCTTATGTGGCCCGCACCTCATGTTATTAATCCGAGAGGGTCATCGGCAAACTCGATCAGGCACAGCTCTTGAGCACCCCGAGGGGGCTCATCGCGAGGGCTTCTCACGAGGGGGCCTCGTCTGCGAGTGAAACGCGAGGAAGTGTCTAGCGGGATCCCCTTCCCTATGGGGCCCGCGTTTCGTGTTTCTAATCCGAGCGTGTCCACGGCAAACCTTGCTGGCCATAGCACTAGAGCACCACCAGCCACATGGCGGACATCTCGAGCGGGAGCTTCGTCTGTGAAACGCGAAGAAGTCTCAAGTCCCTCTGGTGCCCGCACGTCATGTTGTTAATTCGAGCGTGTCATCGACAAACTCTACCAGGCATAGCACTGAGCACCACCAGCCACATGACGGAAACTCTCGAGCGGGCGCCTTGTTTCTTTTTCGGACGTTTGTTTTCAATCGGAGGCGGCCATCCTTCGTCTGTGAAACGCGAAGAAGTCTCAAGTCCCTCTGGTGCCCGCACGTCATGTTGTTAATTCGAGCGTGTCATCGACAAACTCTACCAGGCATAGCACTGAGCACCACCAGCCACATGACGGAAACTCTCGAGCGGGCGCCTTGTTTCTTTTTCGGACGTTTGTTTTCAATCGGAGGCGGCCATCCTCAATCAAGCTTGTAAGCGTCGGCAAGGACCAGCATATACCAGGCATGACGAGAGCTCTGTAGTCACAAGGGCGACGATGAGGATTACTTCCAGATTCGTTTTGAAGGTTCTCATGCGGGTCCTACCGTCGGAGTAATTTCATCGGCGCCCGTTTCCCCGCCATTGACGTCTTCATGGCATTGTTAGATTCCCGCATTTTGTTCCGCATCTTGTTCCCCATTTCTTTATCTCCTCCAGTTTCCGCTGTTCCGCACTATACTTGTAGAGTGAGTGGGGGGGGGCAGACCTGCGGATACATTGGTGGCCTAGGATATTATGAAATTCTTGTCTTGTCTAGCCTGGATTTGGCTTGGTATAGTCTTAAGTTGTCTTGTTTGTGCTGATCGATTTGTATGGCCTTGAATGGCATAGTGCGATATCGTAGAACCTGGTATTGTCCTGCGTGGCAGAGCACGATGCGTTGCGACAATGGATTGGTAGAAAGCGCGAGGATGAGACGACGGTAGCGCCCGCATCGTTGGGGTCATCGCAGTCTCAGCTGCCTCTTGTGCACTCTTGGGCGGCTGTCCAGTGATGCAGACGTCTTCGTCGAGCGCTGGAACCGCCTCCTTGAGGTCTCTTTGTGGCTCCCTGGGATGCCTCCTGACACGTCCCAGGGTCCCTCGTGGGCCCTCTGTGGAGCCTCTTGGAGACGACTTGGGCCGTCTTGGGGGCCATCGACTGACCCCTCGGACGCCCCGTCGGCGCCTCGTGGGCCGTCGTGGGGGCCTCTTGGGAGCGTCTTGGGGGCCCCCTGGAGCCGTCTTTGGGGGCGCCTCGACTGCTCGATCTCGGAGAAGAGCCATGGAGCCTTGAAGCCCAGCCGTCCGGCGAAGTTCGGGCATTGTGGAGGGGTCTTTTCTTTCTCCACAGGAGCGGGAAAAAGCAGAGCGGGCGGACCCGCCCAGTCGACCCGCGCAACGAGACTGGCGTGACATCGGTCCCGTCTTGCTCCGGAAGGCCCCTCAAATTGTCCAAGCAGACGTAAGTCGGGCGTGTCCCCCTACAGGCGGGTTTGGACGAAAAATGAAAAGATTCAAAACATGCCCCAAATACTCAAAAAATTAGAGTGAGGGGGCTGAATCGAACGGTCATTCACTGTCCCTGGGTGCGTGGCTGCAGTGGAACTCCGCGATGCGGATTCTTGTTGTTGTTGCTGTTGTTGCTGTTGCTGCTGTTGTTGCTGGTGTTGTTGTTGTTGGTGTTGTTGTTGTTGGTGGTGGTGTTGTTGTTTTTTTTTGTTGTTGTTGTTGTTGCTGTTGTTGTTGTTGTTGTTGTTGTTGTTGGTGTTGTTGTTGTTGTTGTTGTTGTGGTTGTTGTTGTTGTTGGTGTTGGTGTTGGTGTTGTTGTTGTTGTTGTTGTTGTTAATGCTGTTGTTGTTGTTGAACATTATTAATTCTAAAGAATAATAATTGTTGGGACCCCTGGTGCACGGCCCCCCTGCGCCGCCTAGGCCGCAGCTACATTTTCATCATTTTCGTGAGGAAGCCTCAGGTAATTCGATGTGATCAAGATCCGGTTGTTTTGTTCCCCCCCGCTTTCCCTTGCAAAAAACACTATAAAATGACATTTCTTGTTCTAATATAATCAAATTTCAAGAATCCCTTGCAAAAAATAAGGTAAAGTGGACATTCGCGCGCGCAAGACGAAATCCTTCCAAAAGCTTAGTGTTCGGAGCGATTTTAACATAAAAACATCAAAAAACCAATGGTTTTTCAACAAAAAAATGTCAAAATCTCATCCCGCGCGCTCTTGCGGATTCGTAGGAAACCCAACACTTTTTAAACATTTCTGTCAAACGGGCTTTTGCGAGCAACTTTTTCGAACTTCTGCGACAACGGTTGCGCACCTGCCAGGGCCATCATCCCTGTCAAATAATACCATGCGGGACACATTCGTTTTTTCTTCGCGCGCGCACGCCGAAATCTCCAAAAACCATTGGGCTTCTTAAGAATTTAATCATTTTCATCGCCCCTCGCACGCACGGGCGATGTATCCGTGAGGAGGCGTATCGGCACCATGCTTGGACACTTGGCCCCTGATGTATTTCTGCCAGGAGCCCAGCTGGCAGCATTGCGCCCCATCCGTGCCATCAGGGACGGGCGTATGCCAGAAGATGACGAGCACACGAACTCGTCTCTTTAGAGCCGCGGCGGGGAAAAGACGGTGGGTGGGCGTGCAAGCGCCGTTCCCGCCCCTCCTCTCTCTTCTCTCCTTTCCTCCTTGTCCTGCTCCTCCTCCTCCTCCTCCTCCGGCGGGGGGCGTGAGGATCCGGCATCGCTCACAACCATCGGGACAACCATCGGGACAACCATCGGAACAACCATCGGGACAACCATCGGGACAATCATCGGGACAGTCATCGGGACAACGATCGGGACAAGCACAACCATCAGG